TTGATGAAAGAGTGAAAAAGTTGAAAGAGTGAAAAAGTGAAAACGTTGGCTTAAAACTCAACATTCAAAAAACTAAGATCATGGCTTCTGGTCCCATCACTTCATGGCATATAGAGGGGAAATAATGGAAACAATAATAGACTTTATTTTCTTGGGCTCCAAAATCACTGCAGATGGTTACTGTGGCCATGAAATTGAAAGATGCTTGCTCCTTGGAAGAAAAGCTATGACCAACCTAGACAGCATATTAAAAAGCAGAGACATTACTTTGCCAACAAAGGTCTGTCTAGTCAAGGCTATGGTTTTTCCAGTGGTCATGTATGAATGTGAGAGTTGGACCATAAAGAAAGCTGAGCACTGAAGAATTGATGCTTTTGAACTGTGGTTTTGGAGAAGATTCTTGAGAGTCCCTTGGACTGCAAGGAGATCCAACCAGTCCATCCTAAAGGAAATCAGTTCTGAATACTCATTGGAAGGACTTATGCTGAAGCTGAAGCTCCAATATTTGGCCACCTGATGTGAAGAACTGACTCCTTGGAAAAGACCCTGATGCTGGGGAAGGTTGAAGGCCGGAGGAGAAGGGGAGGACAGAAGATGAGATGCTTGGATGGTATCACCGACTCGAGGGGCATGAGTTTGAGCAAGCTCCAGGAGTTGGTGAAGGACAAGGAAGCCTGGTGTGCTGCAGTCCTTGGGGTGGCAAAGAGTCGGACACAACTGAGTGAGTGAACTGAACTGAATTTAGTATTACACATTAATAATGTCTGCAAAGTATTCCATTGTATGATGTACTGTTATTTATTCAAAGTCTTCATTGTTGAACACATATTATTTATACTATAAAGAATGCTGCAATTGTCCTAGTATATACATCTTTTTTGGTCTATTAATAAGAAAGAATTCTTAAAAATGTAATCGCTGGATCAAAGTTTATGCACAATTTAAATAACAACAGATAATAAAAATTTGCCTCCCAAAGTTACTCAGTTCGTTTCTACCAACATTGTATAAAATAACTTTCTCCTCACCATCACCAGACCCAATATCACTTTAATGACCATATAATAATCTATCATAATATGTACCACAATTTATTCAACCAGTCTTCATTGCTGAACATTTAGGTTGTTTCTTTTCCCGCCGTATTATAAATAAGACTGTGGAGAATATTCCAGTAGACAAATCTTTTCACACATTCATGATTATTTCCTAAGGGTAAATTCCTAGAAGTAGAATTTTTGAGTCACAGGATTTACACATTTTAAAGGCTTTTGAATATATAATACCAAATTATTCCTCAGAAAAATTATATCAGATTATACTCAAATGCAGCATGTATAAAAAACCTTTACTATGGAAAACTTATAAATATACAAAAGAAGAGAGAATATTACAATGACTACCCCCAGACAGCCATCACTCACATTCAGTAATGATCAGTTTATGACCAGTCTATTTCATCTTTGTTGTTGTCACTGTTGTTCAGTCGCTGAGTCGTCTCTGACTCTTTGCAACCCCATGGACTGTGGCTGGTCAGGCTCCTCTGTCCATGGGATTCTACAGGCAAGAACACTGGAATGGGTTGCCATTTCCTTCTCCAGAGGATCTTGCCAACCCAGAGATCAAACCTGGTCTCCTGCATTGCAGGCAGATTCGTTACTGCTGAGCCAACAGGAAAGACACTGCTTCATCTACAACTCCCCATTTTGGTTATATTATTTTGAATCAGATCCAAAGGGGGGGTTTTTAGTAAACTTTCATTTGAGCAATTGAGGATTCAGAAGACAAATGGAAGTGTCCCTTTTCGGCTCTGTGACAACCTAGAAGGGTGGGATGGGGAGGGAGGTGGGAGGGAGGATGAAGAGGGAGGGGACATAGGTATACCTATGGATGATTCATGTCGATGTTTGGCAGAAACCAATACAACAGTGTAGAGCAATTATCCTTCAGTTAAAAATAAATAATTTTTTTAAAAGAGAAAGTGTCCCTTTCAAAGGGAGTCCTGGTGGGAACCTCTTGTGACCACAGCCCAGGCCTGAGGGAGGGGAAGGCCTGACTGAGAGGCACGGGGAGTGGTGGGGACCCCTGGTGCATTCCACCCCAGCCCTGTGGGAGCCAGTGGTCCTTCAGGAAATGACCAATGCAGCCTGCTTCTGAGGGCGTCCAGGGCTTTTTCTGAGTCTCCGTATTCCCCAGCTGCACGTCATTCTCCATTTGACTAAAGCAGAGGTAATAATGTAATCCATCCATAGCTTATGTAAAAGCAAATATTTTGAGTTGTGTTTACAGTGATTGCAGCTGAGCAGGAGGCTCTTCCTGGGTCTCTGCTGAAATTTTCCACTCTGATTGAATTTTGTGATGCTAGTTGGTTACATTGCATCAACTACAAGTCACACAACCCTAGGACAGAAATACAAGCAATTTCCTTTAACAAGAAAGTATAGTAACAGCTCTGCATCCTCCCATCTCTCAGGGCATACTGCTTGGACTGTGCTGTGCTGTGCTCAGTCGTTCAGTCGTGTCTGACTCTTTGGGACCTCGTGGACTGTAGCCCGCCAGGCTCCTCTGTCCATGGGATTCTCCAGGCAAGAATACTGGAGTGGGTTGCCATGCCCTCCTCCAGGGGATCTTCCCAACCCAGGGATTGAACTGGGGTCTCCTGCATTGCAGGTAGACTCTTTGCCAACTGAGTTCCCCGGGAAGCGCCTCCCCACCACCGCACCCCCGCCAATAGGACTGTACTGTGAAGCAAACTGCACTATTGCTGATCCGTTGCTCTGAGGGGGAAAGAAAGGTAACTTGAAGATGTCTGTCAGTCAGTTTGCAAATAAAGAGCAGCAGGAGACCCATGTTCTAGTCCAGAATAGTAAGTGGAAGGGAGATGAATACTTAGAGTTGATTTCCAAATGTCAGATTCAAAGCACCCTCAAGAGTTCACTGCAGTGATTCCCAAGCTACTGTATTAGCTCCAGAGGTCATCCAGCCTTGCTTTAAATCATCCACATGATAATGCTTGTGCCATCAGAGACCAAAGGAAAGGCCACAGGCTTTGAGGCAAACAGAACCCAGTTTGAATCAAACTCCACCATCTACTTGCTGATTTGGGGCTGCTTCTGGGAGTAGGGAGGGCTTCTCAGAGGGCGCTAGCGGTAAAGAACCTGCCTGCCGAAGCAGGAGACATAAGAGATAAGCGTTTGTTCCCTGGATAGACAAGATGCCCTGGGGAGGGCATGGCAACCACTCCAGTATTCTTGCCTGAAAAGTCCTATGGACAGAGGAGCCTGGTGGGCTACAGTCCATGGGGTTGCAGAGTTTTGGACACGACTGAAACAACTGAACACTCATGTGTGCTGGGAGCAGGGAAGGCAGGCGCAGCACACATTCTAAGGACAGGAGAGGGGGTGAGGGGCCTCCAATTGCTGGGATCCAGCCTGTAAACCAGTGGTCACGTCATCTTAAAGTCTTCCCCCAACAATCAGAAAGGGGTCAGAGGTCTTCCTAGAGGAAGCAGCATCTCAGTGGAAGTCAGAGGACAAGTGGGAGTCAGTCAGCCAAAATGAGGGTAGATGAATAGGAAATCAGTATCTGTGCGTAGGAGGATTCCAGAAGGAGGGAACAGCCTCCAAAAGTTTGGAGTAAGAAATGAGATGCACACTCTGGGAATTAAAGTTGTCAAGTGTAGCTGGAGTGTGGTGCACCAGGATGGGGACAGGGTGACCCTGAGAATGTAGCAGGAGTCAGATCTTGAAGGGAAATCCAAGGTAAATTCAGGATGATTCAGGGAACGGTAGAGTTTCAAGCTTGATAGTGACAGGATTAGATGGCTGAGACTAATCTCTGGCTGCTGTGCAGAATGGATGGGAGAGAGTGAGCTGTTAGGAGGCAGTTGTGGCAATGAGGTGGTCTGCATCAGGGCAGTGGCTGGGGGACAGGGAACGGTGGATGGCGCCCAAAGCTATTTCACAGGTAAACAGTTGGATCTGGTGATTGTGGGATATGGTAGATAAAGGGAAGAGGGAGCGACCTGGGTGAGCTCCTGGCTTCTGCCTTGGCCTCTGGTGGGTAGTGGTGCTATTCACAGGGGTGGCACAGGTGGAAATGGGGAGTGTGTGCTGAGTTTGAGGCCAGGGTGCTATGGGTAGTTGTGTAGATGCACTGGGGACAGAGAAGGGTGATAGAGCTTGGTTGTGAGCTGTCAAGGCGTGGCGAGTCAAGGAAGCCATAGGAGCAGAGATGATCCTCAGGAACAGCACTTGGACAATGAAGAGAAGAGGCCATCTCCACGTTGACGAAATGGCCCAGGTCAGAGATGCAAGGAGCTAAGTGAGCCATCTTATTTAAAGCCCAGAGGGAGGAGCCTGGCACTGGGTGGGGTGGTAGTTGATGGCGCAGCCCATCTTGTCATCTCTCTGGGTTGCAATGGGGCAGTCTTGTCCCACCAGGAGGCCATTTTCACAGTCTTACCTGACCTCTCTCTTTTTGGCTGCCTCATTGGTTTGATACTAGCTATGAATGGCCTTCAAGTTGGTTCTAGTGGTAAAGAATCTGCCTGTCAGTGCAGAAGACTCAAGATAGGAGAGCTCACTGCCTGGGTTGGGAAGATCCCTTGGAGTAGGAAATGGTAACCCATTCCAGTATTCTTGCCTGGAGAATTCCATGGACAGAATACCCTGGCGGTTTACAGTTCCAAGGGGTCACAAAGAGTCCAGTGCAACTGAGTGACTGAGCGCACACACATACACGAATCCTCAAGTCTGTTCTCCCTCCCCATGTTCTAGAACATGAAAATGGACCACTCAATGCTCAGCCCTATAGAGTTCAGATTTTTCCCAACCAAGCAGGGTTTGAGTCAGAGGCCGGGGGCTGCTTGCCCCACCGCGGATGGATCTTAAAGCCGTGGTTCGCTTCTTCATATATAGAGAGAAATCTGGTCAGGAAACTCCAGAAAGCCATTTCTCGGCCATCTGTCTTCCTCTGAATGGCAGCCAGAGATGGCTCACCGAGTCGTGTGCAGCAGCGCGGCAGCTCGGTTGGAAACGAACCGCAGCCAAGGTGCCAGGGAGCGCGCGCTGGGTTTGGTGACGGCAGCTGGCTGGCAGGCAGCTCCCAGGGTCAGCGGGACCAGATTATGCAAGGACAGGAAAATTAGCTCCCTAAATCGTCCCAGCAAAGTTAATTTTCATTGTTGAAATTAACTTTCCATCTGATGGAATGTGGTTATGCTGCATTGCCAACCAAGCCCTGAGTCCAGGTAGTAGCAGCCCCGCTTACTGATGCTAGTTTTCGCCTTAGTGCTGGGAATGTGAACTGAATAGACTCTTCCCCGCTGCTGGAGGAGCCTCAGAGAGAGCCTCCAGCGCCCAGCTGCCCTGAGGGCCTCAAAGCAGATGCTAACTCCTCTTCCTTGGAGTCTATTGATAGCAGGCTGACTCAATGGAAAGCCCGAATCAATGAACTGTGCTTTCAAGCGGAGCAAAAGGAAAGGAAAGAATAAACAGGTGGTGCTCTCCAGGGGCAGCAAAATGTTTGTATTTATGAGAAACCTTTCTGACTTCCTCTTCACTGCTCTCTCCTCCCCACCGTCCAGGCTGCAGCACCGCTGACTCTTGGCATAGCACATGCCTTCGATTTAAAGCCACACCAGAGAAGGCAGGCATCCTGCTCTGGGGTTTATTGAACATTTTTCATTATGTGTGTTAAGGGGCAATTTTGGCAGAGCTAGAACTTCATTGCAAGTTATTATTCCCTCCTGTATCTGTTTGCACCTATTCCTATGGGGCGGGGGGCTTAGACTTTGTAGTTGGACGAGGAAGAAAGCAGGGGTTTTATGGATCTGTCCCCCTTGGCCTGGGGTTGACCTCTGCAGGGATAAGGGTCTGAAACTGATGGAGTTATTTTCATGGAAGACTCTGGGCACAAATCAGGATGCTTAGCACCTCACTGACAAAGTGGGGTCTAGGAATGGAGAGAGGCCATTCTCATTCCGCTGCATAGAAGCTGGTGCTATGCTGAGGATGGTGGCCTTGGAAGGCTTCTTCTAGCAGCTTAATGGGTAAGTGGAAGCCAGAGAAAGGGATCATGCAGGGCAGCCCCGAGTGGTTGTTGTAGATGGAAGCACAGCCTGGGGCCCAGTATGAGCCTCTCCTAGAATTTACCAAGCACTTCTTGAAAGGGGCTAGATTCTGCATAGGCAAATGAAAGGCTTGCTAAGGACCATTGCATTTGGGGCATAAATAAAAGGGACGTTCTGAGTCACTTGGGAGAATGTGTGTAGGCAGAGTGTTAGCATCACTATTTCTTCCCACATCCCTGGCTCCATCTGAATTTGGCAATGACTGTCCAGGACCTGCTATGGAAGAGCAGGGGGCCTTTCCTCCAGTCACTCAGATGAGGAATTTCTTAACCAAAGCCAAGACCCAGCATGACAGAGCATGCTGGGACCTCTATGGGAGATCCCAGGGGATGGGAAGAAGGTGGGAGCAGAGAGACTGGTACGGGGGGGGGGGGGGGGGGGTGGGGGGTGGGGGGTGGGGGGTGGGGGGGGGGTCAGTCCAGGGCGGGAGGAAAAGGGGAGGGAGAAAGAAATGGTCTCAGTGATTACTCTGAGTAACTAGTGTTGCGATGGACAGAATTCCATTTTCTTCACAGCAGAGGAAATTGATAGTGGACAATTGTGTGATCTTCTAAGAAGAAATCAGCAAAGCCAGAACATCTATTTCTAGAAAGCGTTTCTTTAATTCCAGAATCTCAAAAGGTCAGAGTTAACACAGCTTAGGAACCAAAGCATTCTAAATTTTTAAAAAGGCCTGAGACCAACTACTCCAAGATTCCCTAACACCTATTTAATAGTAACTCTTGAAATGTGGTCCAAATGCCAACTTGTATAAGCAGCTCTTCAAGTCCTGATTAAAAATGAAATTCCTATGTGCAGAACAAAGGAGACACTGACATAAAGAACAGACTGTGGGACACAGTTGGGGAAGGAGAGGGTGGGATGATTTGAGAGAATAACATTGAAACATATGCATTACAGTATATAAAATAGATAGCCAGTGGGAGTTTGATGTATGATGCAGGAAACCCAACACTGGTATTCTGTGACAACCTAGAGGGATGGGGTGGGGAGGGAGGTGGGAAAGGGGATCAAGAAGGAGGGGACACATGTATACCTATAGCTGATTCATGTTGATGTATGGCAGAAGCCATCACAATATTGTAAAGTAATTATCCTCCAATTAAAAGAAAAGAGAATCCTTAGTCTCACCCAAACCCACTCAATCAGATTCTCTTGGAAAGAGTCTGGGATCTGTTTTTTGGACAAGTACCCAGGAAATTACTATGTACATTAAAATTTAAGAACACATTGTTTTTACCCACAGTGTCTAATATAGTAGCTATTAACCACTTGGGACTATTTAAATTAATTAAAATAAAATAAAAATTTTAAATTCACTTTCTCAGTCATACTAGCTATATCTCAATTGTTCAATAGCCCCATGTGACTAGCGGCTACTATAGTGGACAGTGCAGAACATTTCCATCATCACAGAAAGTTCTGTTGGACAGAGCTGACTATAAGGAATATTGTAAATATGAATTGTGTGTGTGTTCAGTCACTCAGTCATGTCTGACTCTTGGAGACCCCATGGACTGAAGCCCACTAGGCTCCTCTGTCCATCAAATTTTCCAGGCAAGAATACTGGAGCAAGTTGCCAATTCCTTCTCCAGGGGAGCTTCCAGACCCAGGGATCAAACCCACATCTTCTGAGTCTGTTGCATTAGCACGTAGATTCTTTACCACTGTGCCACCTGGAAGGCCCAAATATAACTTCAGTTCAGTTCAGTTCAGTCGCTCAGTTATGTCTGACTCTTTGCAACCCCATGAATTGCAGCACACCAGGCCTCCCTGTCCATCACCAACTCCCAGAGTTTACTCAAACTCATATCCATCGAGTCAAAATATAACTTAGGAGATTACAAATATTTTTATGTTAATATGTGAAGTTTAATCACTTTTTCTACAAAAATGCTGTTTCCTCCTAAAGAGGGAGCTTTGCATTGGTTAGTATTAATCTGTGAGGATATGGCTGTTCCTGTAGGTCACCTCTTCTCTGCCTTTTGGCTGGGCCATACAGAACCTCTGCAGGAATTAGATGGGTAGAGCCAAATACATGAGTGTGATACACCTCTGGGTGGGTATAGTCTCACAGCCACCCCTTGGAAGGGGCAATGGAGTCTTTGTGCAAAGCTGGAATCTCCCATGGGTTTGGGCTGATGCAAACCTGGGCCATTGCACATGGCTAGGCCAGTCAGCCGTGGCTGGGCTTTAGCCCCAACTTGTCTCGTCAGCCCTGTACGTTTATGCAGTGTGCAGCCTAAAACACCTTACACAGCAGCTCTTAAGCGGGGGAGCAACTTTTGTTGAAGTTGCTGATTTCATTGTTCAAAAAATACAAAGGCTTATGACAGACTCTAGGTTCATCTCCATCACTACAAATGACTCACTTTCATTCCTTTTTATGGCTGAGTAATATTACATTGTATATATGTACCACATATTCTTTATCCCTTCTTCTATCGATGGACATCTAGGTTGCCTCCCTGTCCTGACTATTGTAAATAGCGCTGCAATGAATACCTAGAGGGGTGGGGTAGAGGGGTAGAAGGGAGGCTCAGGAGGGAGGGAATATATGTATGCGTGCATGCTCAGTTGCTCCGCTCAGTCGTGTCTGACTCTGTGACCCCATGGACAGTATGCTGCCAGGCTCCCCTGTCCATGGGATTTCTCATCCTGGAGTATGGAAGTAAGAATACTGGAGTGGGTTGCCATTTCCTTCTCCAGGGGACCTTCCCAACCCAGGGATCAAACCTGGGTCTCTTAGTCTCCTGCATTGGCAGGCAGATTCTTTACCACTGAGCCACCTTGGAAGCCCCAGATATACATATATATATACATATTTATATACTTGTGGCTGATTCACGTTTTTGTACAGCAGAAACTAACACAGTATTGTAAGGCAATTATACTCCAATTACAAAATAAATTTAAAAAATGAAAAGCTTTACTTTCTTATTTTAAAACACCTCCTACATGAGATCCCATACTGGTCACTGGGGATCCAACAGCCAAAGAGACAGGGTCAGTGCCCTCAACTTGTTTGCAGCTGTGGCAGGAAGGGGCTCAGAACTAAACAGAACATTCAGGGCAGCATGGCACAGTGTAGTGGTGGAGGGATTGCTTTCATACAGGGAAATTAACCAACCATCTTGGAGGGGACGAGAAAGTCCTCCTGGATACCTGAGATGATACAGAAGGACGACCAGGAGCCATGTGGGATGGGGTGAGAGAAGGCAGCATGAGCGGAGGGAACAGTAGGATCGAAGGTGGAGACACAGCATGGTGCTTGGGGAGCTATGTGTCTGAGCTGCTATTGCTGCAGCTCAATGCAAGCACGTCCCATGATTCTTGTTGTGTGGTTCTGGAAGAAAACAAGGGAACCTGTGTGGGGAAGTCAGCATGCATAGGGTCTGCCGTCTTGGGGGAGGGTTGTCAGAACAGCCCCAGAAAGTGGGGAAGGAGAGGTAATGGTGAAAATAGCTGCACCTGATCAGGACTCTAACAGAGCAGGCTTGGCACGTGGTGAGAGGGCAGGGGAGTCCTGCTTTTCCTTTCAGCAGGCCGCAGTGTATTCCCAAAGCCAATATTACTTATTGCCTGGTGCTTCATCACGGGGGATTTTTAAAGCATCAGATGAACATGGGAAACAGAAATTTGTGTTTGGAAGTAGAGAAGAGTCCTTGTTTAACCAGTAAGTATGCAATCCACCTCAATTCAATTTAAAGTGATTTTAATAGACTTGAGGGTGTATTTGACCACTGCATCTTACTTTGAATGAAGTGAAAACCATGTTTACCAAGGGAAAGGATGAAAGGCTTGTACTCAAACGTGGAGAAGACCCTCCCAGGCCTTCTGAACCACATTGTGGGTGGGGCTTGAGATGTCTGCCCCCAAACAAAAAGGACTGTGTGTCAGTAAAATGCCATCGTGTGGCTCCCTGTCACTGCGGTAGTTCCTTGGAGAGACTGCAAACCAGAGAGCTCACACATGTCGCTCCAGGGTTGCCAGAAGGACTAGGGGACAAAGTGAGCCTTG